GAGAGAGATAAGTGGCAGGGGTAGAAAGAGACTAACGCTGGCACCCTCTGAGGTAAGCAATAGCTGGGTCATGGTGCAACTCACACGTATGTATATATAATAACTACGCGGTGCAAGTCGGTGTTTGATACATGTATGTGTGATCGCGGAACTGTCGGCTGTACATCCCAACAGAAAATACACAGAATTTAATCAATTATAAATGTAACGCGTCGTTGTCTTTGTCCGAATCACGCGCACGACTTCTCGCCAAAGCTGCCTACATCATTTGTTCGCAGTTTGTTTACGTGATGACCGTAACTCCGTGTGTCGCATGCGCCTGTGTTATCAGCATTCTATACGTACAACTCGGCTACATCGTGCTTGTATGGTAGTGTGTTGTTCCGCACATGAATGTTGATGCCCGACCGCGAAAGTATGTGAACTAACGAGAACCAGCACAGCTGACAAATACAACAAGTTAAGATTAAGGATTTCAAGTACACAAATTCTTATTTATTTTACAAAAATTTGGATTAAATACATTGAACAATGAAAGTGTCAATGACACTGTAGCTCACCACAAAAAAGGACACAAGTGAGTGAGCGAGAAGAAATCAATTTTAATTGAGCAACCATCGACGTACATTATAGAAACGAAAGAGTATATATGGGAGACTCCCATTATATACTCTTGATAATTATAATGTGTAATTGTTTATGTGAAGAAATAATAAATAATATTATATATAAATTATAAATAATAGATGGCGCTATACCCGCTTTGATCTTAGCATAAATCATTATATCATAATAATAATAATACAATAATGAAAGTGTCAATGACACTGTATAGCTCACCACAAAAAGGACACAAGTGAGTGAGGTGAGAAGAAATCAATTTTAATTGAGCAACCATCGACGCTACATTATAGAAACGAAAGAGTATATATGGGAGACCTCCCTTATATACTCTTGATAATTATATGTGTAATTGGTTTATGTGAAAATAATAAATAATATTATATATAATTAAAATTATAAATAATTTATTATAAACAAATGAATCACAATTTGTGACGCGTAGATGGCGCTATACCCGCTTTGATCTTAGCATAAATCATTATATCATAATAATAATAATACAATAATGAAAGTGTCAATGACACTGTAGCTCACCACAAAAAAGGACACAAATGAGTGAGTAAGAAGAAGTCAGTTTTAATGAGCAACCATCGACGTAGATTATAGAAACGATTGCATCTGTATATCGCAATAATAATGTATAAACCAAAATAAATCACAATTTGTGACCGCGTAGATGCGCTATACCCGCTTTGTAGCGCATGGCGTTTGAAATAAATAGGTTATGCTGCGTTCGACATGTTTTGTAAAACTTTACTCTACATATAGACGTTTTGTCGGCAGAGGTGAGAGGAAATACCAATTTTGCATTAAAGATATGCTCAATGAAATCTTGTAAAACGAACCAGACGACAGTGTGACACCACAGACTGTTGTGTCTATATAATATACTATATAATTGCCAAACCCTACCTAATTGCATAATTTTTTTACATATCAAAACCCCTAGCCCTTATTCAATCACATACAAAAATGAGCAAAATCCGTTGAACCTAACTGACTAATGGCAATTCCATTTTGCAAAAAAATTGCGTTGCTCGAAAGTACGTCGACTGGCGTGCTCCAAAATAGGACCGTTTAATATGGGGGCATAGCAAGTAACAACTATACCCAATTTCAAACCCCTATACCCGGTTTCTCTCCCCTGTGAGTTCGCATGTGTCGCTTCAGATGACGGTAGCTCATATACCTGTCTTTACATATATCGCATTTCAACGGTTTCTCTCCGTGTGAGTGAAGCGTAGTGTATCATCAGATCACTGGAGTTGTAAACCTGGTGTCACAAAAACGCATTCATACGGTTTCTCTGCGCGTGAATGCGCATGTGTCGATTCAGATGACGGTAGCTCCTAAACCCGTGTTCACATATATCGCATTTCAACGGTTTCTCTCTGGTGTGAGTGCGGCGGTGTATCTTGAGATCACTGGAGCTCCTGCACCTGTGTTCACATATGTCGCACACAAACGGTTTCTCTCCCGTGTGAGTGCGTATGTGTATCATCAGATCACTGGAGGTTGTAAACTTGTATTTACATATATCGCATGCATACGGCCTCTCTCCCGTGTGAGTGCGCATGTGTGTCTTAAGCATATTACACATATATTCACATCTCTCACATGGATATGGCACGTAAATATCGCACGTATATGTTCCAGGGCGTGGCATTTCTGAACCAGAAGGCTCCATCCGACAGATCACGGGTGCTTGGTTCTGCCTGGTTTCGAGCTCTCGCTAATGCCCTCTCCTGCTGGGACAAAGATGTCAAAATAAATATCATCATTGACGCACTGCCAATATCTGGCATGTCACTGCCCCGTACTAAAAGGTATGGCTACGACATGCGGGCCCGCTACTAACGCCTCCAATGGTGACGTCGACCAGATTTAGCAATACGCGTGGGTGTGATTGGTGTGGAGAGTGAAATAGATGCGCTCTTGCATTCCTCACAGAGAAACTTCGAATCGCAACTATATTAGGCGTACTGGCTGGCATTGCGCGCACCTTTCGCAAAATGCGATGAATAAATTAAAGAGTCGTGCGAATGCTACTACACTAAGTGACAAATATACAATTGGCGAAGTGTTTCTCACTCAGAAAAAAAATAATTTAAACTGACTAACGAAATCGTCAAATTGCAGCATGTCTGTCATAAAATTGTCTCGGACATCTCTTTTTTCGTACCCATCACCTGTTTATGTCTTGCTTAGCACGATACGATAAGTGAACAGTGGCTTAGTGTTTTATTAGTGCTGAAAAATAACGTTGGTGGCTCAAGTCTTAGCTCAAACTTTAAAATATGCAGAGAGAGCCCTGTTATGGGGTGTAAATACAGATAAGGGAGCCTTCTTGTTTTTGAAGTCTCTTTCTTGGAGTCTCCCCCTGCTTTGCAATCTCCTTTATCCCGAGTTCTTCGCTTCTTGAGTGCGTTCCACACCTGTGAGTATAACTGGTGTAGTATGGCAATCCACTAAGCTGAATTGGCAGCGCTCTATCCTAACAGGAACAAGTGCCGCAGTGCGACAGGGCCAATCTGGTGTCTTGGTGTTTCTGCTGATAAATTCATTTGTGCATAGCAAGACGTCGTATACATAAGTCTTCTTTATTCTTGTTTCACTTTCGTAGCCAATTCGAACAAATGATATCAGCTACACTTTCGCAGCCCACCTAATCTCTATGCCATGCAGACACTATGTGCATTGCAGGTTGGCAGGCAACAATTATGATTAGAAGCGTGCCACGCCATGGGCTGCCCTGCTTATTTTGCCTACCACCGCGAGCATTCACTGATTCAGCCTTCAGGGTGCTATAGCACAGACTGCTTTAGGAAATGAAATAATTTAAGGAGCGTAAACCTTGTTCAACAAACATTTGCCTATGCCAATTAAACTGTTGCAACTGTAGCCTCACATTCACACAGGTATGGGCTCTAATTATTACCATGATGCTATACACCGACTATCACCGAGCCTAGGTCGAGCCATTTAGATTTGTGCCGCAATTCTGCATTTCCTCCCTATACCTTAAGTTAAGGAAGAATGTTCCCCCTTCTTTTACACCCTCTGACCTTTGACCCACAGCTTCGACATCCCAACTCGTTTTCGGATTACCCCCCCCCCACGTCCCGAATATCGTGGACCTGTACGTCAAGCGGTAAAGGGACTAACGCCTCACGAATTCTATGGTTAAAATTTGCTAAAAAAAAAACAAAAATTGCCATTTTTTTACAATTAAAAGTAAGAAACTAACGTACTAAATATATCCTCAAACTCATCACCTGCATAAAAATGTTTTTATCGTTGTGTTAAATTTGCAAAAACTAGACAATTTGCGTAATTTCTGTTGTCTACACTATCTCCCCAGTACTGTTCAGATACTGGCCGTCTCTCTGTTTTTACACCGGCAAATTAGGGGCATCTAAAGAACGGTATATAAGCCAATGAAAAAGTAAACAGAAACACTAATTGTATTTTCATACATCTTTATTTTGTACAAATAACAAACAAATATACTACTTAAGATGGTGCCTAGAAACTTGTGACGTACATCACTCTTAAGATTTTGCGCCCAACTGTGAACGGACGCGGCAACGCCTCAGAAACGGACGAAGGGAACGATCATTGCGATTCTACAAGCATGCAGGTCTGACTAAGTACAGATGCAGCTTAATAACGCATGCATGCCAACCTTAATCCTTAACCGATTCCCAAAGCTCTAACTCTCACCCTCTCTAAACATAACCCCAAACAAATCATAACTCTAATAGTAACTAGAAACTGTCGCCCGACTACATGTATACCCCATGCTTCCTAGTATGAATGCCGAATATCTCTCTAAGGCGACGTAGAAGCGCAGGTAAAGTTAAATAAGTCACCAAAGACAAAGGCTTTGCTTAGACAACTGGTCTAGCCTCAGCATGTGCAATGTATTGGGATCTGTTCCCTGCGGGCGAGAAGGGAAATGTAAGTCGATCGGCAACGGTCAAACAAGGTCAAGGGCAGGTGGTGGTTTAGGTATGCCCGACAGACCTTCTCCCAAGATGTGCTATTCCATATTCAATGCTTATTGCCATCTAAATCATGCATTTGTAATGAAGGTAGCCATAATTTCATTAATAATTTTTCCTTTAGCTTATGTCAGTTTTACCCGATCTCGCGATTATCTTCAAATTTAGGCATGAAGGGGCGTTTTGGTAAAAGTCGAAGCACGCCAATATTTTTTGGTGTGCGGAGCGAGTCATACGTGCCATTTGCTAACAAGCATATTTTGTGCGAAATATTGTAGCAACTGTAACTTGTGCCTGTTTTAACCGATTGTCATGGAATTTGGCACACAGGGCCGATATAACATGTCCTATATATACTATATCATTGCTATATATTAGTCCTGCTGCTGCCAAATTTCATGACAATCGCGGTAAAACTGCCAGCAAGTTACAGGTTCTAGAATATTTTGCAGAAAAAATGTCGTTACCATGGCCAACGATCGACTCCGCCACACCAAAAACGCATTTGGCGATCTTTCCCTTTACGATTATCGCCACCATTCATGCGAAATTGAAGATGCAATCGAGAAGAACGGCCAGCCGGCTTAGAGCAGCTCACAAGGAAATCCTCCTGCGGCCCGTTCGGCTGGCGCGCGACGATGCCCAAATCCTAACACATAACAGCTGAACAGAAGCTCTAACCCTCACCTCAACCAAATCATAACCCCTAATCACAGCATGAACATGAAGCTCTATTACCTTACCCTAAACTCATAACACTAACCTCAACCAAATCAAACCCTAATCACTGCATGACCAGCAAGCCTCTAACCCTCACCCTAACTCTAAACACTAACCTTCAACCAAATCCATAACCCTAATCAACAACATAACAGAAGCTATCCCTCACCCTAACTCATAACACACCTCACCAAATTGTAACCCGATCACAACACATAACAGAAGCCTCTATCCCTCACCCTAACTCTACACTACCTCAACCAAATCAAACCCTAATCACACATAACAGCAAGCCTCTAACCCTCACCCTAAACTCTAACACTACCTCAACCAAATCAATAACCTAATCACAGCATAAACAGAAGCCTCTATCCCTACACCCTAACTCTAACACTAACCTCAAACCAAATCATAACAAAATATATCACAACGATAACAGAAGCCTCTAAACCCTCACCCTAACTCTAACACTAACCTCAACCAAATCATAACCCTAATCACAACCATAACAGAAAGCCTCTATCCTCACCCTAAAAACTCTAACAATAAACATCACACCAATCATAACCCTAATCACACATACAGAAGCTCTAACCTTCACCCTAACTCTAACAATAACATCAACCAAATCATAACCCTAATCACAACATAACAGCAAGCCTGGCGGGTATCCCTCACCCTAACTCTAACACTAAGCCTCAACCAAATCATACCCTAAATTCACAAAACATAACAGCAAGCTCGAACCTCACCCTTAACTCTAACACTAACCTCAACCAAATTCATAACCCTAATCACAACATGAACAGAAGCTCGTAACACCTACACCCTAACTTCTAACACGTACCTCAACCAAATCAATAACCCAATCACAAAACATAACAGAAGCTCTATCCCTCACCCTAACTCTAACACTAACCTCAACCAAATTGTAAACCCTAATCGCGGCGAATCCTAACAATAACAACATAACAGAAGCTCTAACCCTCACCCTAACTCTAACAATAACATCAACCAAATCATAACCCTAATCACAACATAACAGAAGCTCTAACCCTCACCCTAACTCTAACAATAACATCAACCAAATCATAACCCTATTCACAGCATAACAGAAGCTCTATCCCTCACCCTAACTCTAACAATAACCTCAACCAAATCATAACCCTAATCACAACATAACAGAAGCTCTATCCCTCACCCTAACTCTAACACTAACCTCAACCAAATCATAACCCTAATCACAACATAACAGAAGCTCTATCCCTCACCCTAACTCTAACACTAACCTCAACCAAATCATAACCCTAATCACAGCATAACAGAAGCTCTAACCCTCACCCAGAAGCTCTAACCCTCATCTAACACTAAGCTTTACCTTCACTCTAACACTTACCCTTACCCTAACTAGTAACACTAACAAAATCGTAACCCCAATCGCAGCGTAACAGAAGCACGGCAGGTGGCGCGTGCGTGTAACCTATTCATGTAGCCTGCACACCAAGATGGGCTGAGCAAGCGTAACATGGTTGAGTAGCCACTCTCACGTGTCTCCGCTGCCACCGGTTGCACTGTTACCCAAGAGAGAGTCATCGTGCCGACTAAAAATCACACGATTATGTAATGTCGTAAATATTAGTCTTCGCAAGGTCCGGGAGACTATATGATATATCGAAGACGAAAAGAAACAGAACGAATAGAAGGATCAACCCTGCGGATCGCAGTGGGAAAAGCTTCAAGTTACCAACTAAAGAGGAAGGGAGAGAATTACAATACGGAATAACGAAGACAAAGAAGCTAAAACTTAAAGTGATCCTCTGAAGATGGCGTGTGACGAAAGTAAACATGCGTCTAAACAAAGGAATTGCTCCGACCTGTGATTGGAGGATGAAAATTGAATTCGTGATGTTTCGTTTTCATTTTGCATACCCCGCCGCACACGCTATTATGCTAGTATGTAATACGACTTGCTTTGCAGCTACAGTGACAATAGGCGCGTTCACACGGACGTTTTTGGC